ATTGTTCTACTTGGTCCATATATTTCTGTTTTCCCATCTCCTGTCTACAATGAAGGCATTGTTTTTCACTTACACAGATAATCTTCCATTTTACCTTTGATTATTTTTTCTTTATTCATTCATCTTTATTCATTGGTTAATTATAAGTAACTTTCAAAATGTCATTTAATACTGCTTTCCTCATAAGGACTCCTTAGTCCCTGACTATCAGCTATTAGAGCTGAAAAGGAAATCATGTCCACTGTCCTGCTTCACCTGCTCCACTACATGTAATAAGAAATGAGGATTTTATATTTTTTCAATCACTGCATTTCAGCCTAAATCAGCATCTGCCATAATAAAGAAGAACCTAAAAATAAATTCTGTGAAAGTTAAAAGGAAATTTTCATTAAGGTGATATTACTATTGAAAAATCCAAAGAAGTTACTAGGGCAGCTTTTCTTCTTCAGAAGAACTTTTCAGAACTTTTCACCTCAGAACATTTCCAAAGTTCCCCAAAAATAAAAAAAAAGGAGATAATAGAGCAGCAAACTGAGCCAAAACAGATTTTGCTATCAGATGTCATTAGAAGTCAGCAGAGTACAAACTTGCAAAAAATATTTTTTACTTTTTTTAAATATAGATTGCAGTCTTCCAATCTAACACAAATAAATAAAGAAATAAGATAGAAGGAACAAATAGTTCAGCTAAGAAAATCTATAGAATACATTTTAAGCATCTCAGGCACTATATTTAGCTATTTAAGTATGAATTTAAATTTTCAAACTGTTACCTGTTAATCAAGTATTTGTCTCATCAAAGGTGTCTTTATGTCACATTATTTAGGAAGATAACAAATACAATGCTATTCCATTTGTAGTAGGGTGAGTTCAGCTTTGCTGTCTCCATTAGAGTGCAGCAGAACTGCATTACAGCTAACACATTTAAATCTTTCATTAGCAACAAAATTCCGTGTAGGAAAAGAAACAGAATTAAATTTAATCCTATTTTTACAGATCACTTAAAAATGAGGGATAAATGACAGCTAAAGAGAAAAGGAAGGACTATGTTGGACAAATCTAAAGCTGTTTGAAGTGGCTGCTGTTTATTCCTCCAAAGGATATCCACTGCAGATGTCTTGGCGTTTTGTGGGTACCACACAATACTGCAGTAAGGCCAGAGGCACCAAGACTTAGTTGACTGTCCCCTGAGCTGTCCACACCAAGGCTAAAATGCTATCCAGACCTCTAACTCTGAAAAGCATTTTGGATACACCTTTCTATACCTTCCTGCTTATGTTCTTACTCTACCTAGATTCCTTCCCGTGCACAAAACAGCAATATCCCTCACCCTGAGAAAAAGAGGAGGAGTCCTATGGGCCCAGTTTGCCTACTGAGCTAAATGTATGTCCATCATGGACACAAATTGGAAAAACACTTTGTGCAGCAGTGAGCAAGTTCATTGGATGTTTCAAGTCAGGTTCATCCCTGGCTTCTGCCCTTTTTGCAGTGAGGAGATGCTAGCACACAGCATTTTCTTCAGGTGTGCCATACTGCAGTCCCTCTGGCAAACAGATCTCACTTCTTTATTCTTATCCTCCTTATCAAAGGCCACACCAAGTCCTGAGACTTTCTCATCAACATCCATTAGCCCTTGCCAAAACTGCAGCCCATGGACCCTGAAGAAACAAGCTTATCCACGCCCCATTTTTCAGTTCTTGTCCTACCACATCTTTAGGAAGTGCATTCCTAGCCACTGTGCACTAGCTCTGGGCACTTTCAGGATATGCTGAGTGCTATTGGGAGTGTTCTGTCTAACACTCCCCTTAGTTCCCCTCTTTTTTTTTGTCTACATATTTGTCTTTCAGCCCTCTTCCTTTTCCTTATTTGTCATCCACTCTATTAAGTTTTCTCTATTAACCACCCTCTCTTTTTGCTTTGGTTTTATAAACAAGAGATATATAGGTTTGTAGAGGTGGAACACAATAGAGAAAACCCAGTGGCCACGAGGGGCAGGGTTGCTGTCCCTACGTATCTCCTGGCTCAGCAGCACAGCTCCTGTGCTGCCTTCTCTGTCCCATAGGAAGGGGAGTTTTCATCCTGCTCTGACACCGAAACCCTGCACCACCACTGCATCATCTCTGCTGCCAGCATCCCCACCTTCACCACTGACCTCCCTCTCCTCTCTGCCCCAATAAGTGTGGGGCTGCAGCAGGGCACCACTCCCCACTCCAGGCAGCCAAACCTCCAGGAGCTCAGGGCTGGGAAGAGCCAGCTGCTGCTCCTGTGATGGGGATGGGCAGCCCCAGGCAGATATGATGCTAAATTCCATCTGCATGGAAGGGAAATCTGAAAAGTATTGTTAAAAATGGCATATTACATTTGTATACACACACAAAAACCCCTAAATTAAAACTCAATCTCAATACAAGATAATGAAGTTTGCAAATAAAAGGTGCATGTTTGCAAATAAAAGGTGCATGTTTGTCACACTGAAAGCATTACTGATGCTGAGAAGGACTTCTGTGACAAAAAAAAAAAATCTATATGAAATAAAGCAACTTTAGAAAAAAAATGTATATGTAATTACATATCACTACTTTTACTAAAGTAGTAGTACTTTTAATTGTACTGAAAGTACTATTTCTTTTTTCGCTTTCCTGGCAACAGTCACTCAGAGTTTGTAACTTCTGCAGCTACTTCTGTTAAATGTATCACATACTCAGAAATTGTCATGCAGAATTTCCACATAAACAATAAGTGTTAAGAAATTGTCATGCAGAATTTCCACATAAACAATAAGTGTTAATTAGACTGTTACAACCTCCCTTATCCTAATTTTGACAAGCATGCTCTAAAGAATCCTAGGTATTCCTAAATCTGTTATTTAGTGTAATCAGTGTCTGCCATTCTATACCGTCTCATGCCTACAAGGAGCAAACAGCAGGAAGGGTTTTGTTATCCTATATTAAGCTGTACTTCGAACATTTTCTGTGAGAGAAGAGGCCACTATGAAGACAGACCAAATAGGCACTGGATTGTAATGGAGCCCTCTTGGTGACATCACTGCTTACAAACTGCCACCATCCTACCCTAAATTCACTCACCTGGAGAAAACACTGCCCCCAGCCAGGCCTCACCTCCTCAGCACATCTTGGGTGCAGGATGCTGCCAACACCTCTGATCTGCCAGCATAACCACCCACAACTGATCTAGTGGTGACACACATTAGAATCCAGCTACAGATCAGTGTCACAGAAACCCCTCCACACCAGTGCTTCCCCTCTAGCTCAACACTGGTGTTGTACAAATCCACAGATTTGACTCCAACCCAGACACCACTGAAAGTTCAGCCGGCTTCACTCAGCAGTCTCCTGGGTCCTAAAAGACTGGTCTCTGAAGTCTTCTGACTGGAAAATAAAAGTTGTTCGGTTCTCAGTAACCTAAAATAAAACTACAAAGGTTAAAGAAACATTATAAATTCCTAGTATAACAATTTCTGACACTGGCATATACTGTGGAGTCCAAAATGCTGAAGAAATATGTTCATTATGAGCTTGTTTGGTGTTCTCAGCACACAAACTGTAACCAATTTTTAGCATATGCAATTCTACATGCATTAAGCATAAACAGTCAGTATTAGAAATTCTTGACTCTTTACTGATATAAAAAAGTTATAAAATTATCTGGAAAATGAAACAATGAATGCTCCAAAGCTATATAAAAACGAAATTAATGAATCCTTAAACATTAAATCACCAGCATTCCCTCACATTACATTTCTCTAGAGACATGATCTCCACTAACTTCTTCCCTTTTCAAATAAGATCTATACCACAAGATATTAAGGAGTGGAAATAAAGCACAAAGAGAACTGTAGGGTTTCCTTGGATTTGTAAGGACAGATTTTGAAACACTATTTAACTGAGGTAATCAGAGTTACAGGTGCTCACTTTAAGGTATGTTTTGCAAACTCTTCTTCAAAACCATAATCCATTTTCATCAGTTGCAGACTTTATAGACAAATATGTTGTCCTGATTCAAACAGAATTGAAATTAATGTTCACTGAAGGCTACCCTCAAGTGAAATCAAACAATTGACTGAATTAGTTAAAAAAAAAGAAAAAAATAGTTATAGTCTATTAAAGAAAATAAAGGATTAAAAGAAACATTACTCTAAGTAGGAAAATGTATTTCTAAACTCAACTCTTCACATCATGCACTTTTCAATTACACTGCAAAATTTTTTCTTTTGAGCCTGAAGCACAGTCTTATAACCACTCAGTTGTTATAAATTCCTTAAGTACCCATTCACAGTAATTGGAAGGAAAAGCTGGGGATCCAGCTCCTTCTTTCTTCCTAATTTGACAAGTACTGGAGATAAAAGTGTTACTTTCTAGTTTGTTTGGAGGTATTTTCTTTTTTTTTTTTCCTTTCTTTTCTAAAAGTTCAGAAGACAATAAGAATAGTTTGAACTAGAGTTTAAGACTGACAATTAAAACAGAGCAATTTGGTGTCCCTGAATTCCCAGAAGCTAAACTAGTTCTGGCAGTCACCTCTAGTAACCTGCTCTTCTCCTAAGGCACAGACACACATACATGCACACATGCCTACACCTTCTGAGCAGAAAGAAATAAATTGATTAAAAATACATCTGTGCCTAACTTGGTTTAAGTCGCTCATTGCCTGTTGACACAACACTGTGACTTGGCAAGGGTCATATCTAAAACTCTATTGAATAAAATTCCAATATATGGACTGTTACACCATCCCAGGGGTGCAGAAGACAGGGCTGCTGACATCCTGGAAGCTGGGGGCCAGGCACAGCTGTTTCCAGATACCCTTTAACTTCAATAAGTACCACTTGCCATCAGCCAGTGAGGGAAGAAGAAGCCTGGGCACCTCGCAGGTTGGAATGAGGGGATTACAAAGCAGGGACACCTTATCTAGAGAGATGCTTTACCTTTCATCCAGCCTTAGCCCAAGTTGCAGAGAGCTGAAGTGGCAGCCCAGCTTTCCTACCTGTCAGCACTGAGGGCAGTGAGGGTGAAGACAGAGACACCGACGGAGGTCAGCTGGATGACAGGGATGAGCTTGCAGCCAACTTCCCCAAAGAGCCACTCTTCAGAGAAATACCGGGAGGCATCCACAGGCACACAGGTCACTAGCAGGAGCAGATCACCAGCGGCGAGGCTGGAGATGAAGATGTTTGGCACACTTCTCATGGCACTGTTGGAAATGAAGATCTTCATGAGGGTGACGTTGCCCAGCAAGCCGACAGTGATGATGAGCAGGTAAAGTGAAGGGATCACACAGCGGATGATGAACACGGCCGTGCCTCTCCCCGCGGCCAGCAGGGCTGTGTCGGGCACCGGGTGGGCACTCCCATTCTCCCCCAGGGGAATTGCTGGGAGCTCGGGCGGGGGCTCTGGCTCCATTCTCCAGCTTCGCGTGGACTGACGGTCTCAAGTGCAAAGTGCAGTGGGAGCCACAGCAAAGCTTCACCTCTCTGCAAGTCAATCAACTTTCCCCCGCTTCTCTACTGCCCTTCTTCGCTGAGTTTTCCCCCTTAAGAAATGCAGAGGAATGTCAGCCGGCGCAGCTGCCGGGGAGGGAAATAGAAGCTCCCGTGCGCTGCCGCTCGGCTCTTCGGACAATCCTCTCTCTCCCTGCGGGCGGGAGATCCTGGGCCCGGGGGCAGAGAACGCCGTCGGGACAGCGGACACCTGCCCGGGTCCCCG